TGGTCAGCCAAGCACCCAAAGAGTGCAAAGTATTGACAGTTTGAATTTCACTTCATAAAGTAAAAAATGATTTAAGGATCGATCCCACTATGAGAAGGAAAATCGTAAAAATTGTTTTGTGAGTCTAGGAGCGTGAAAGCTTGGAGATTCAAATACCTTGTCAGCAGGAAATCTCATGCAGCACTGATGTCAGCAATGCACACCAAGTCCAAGTCAGAAATCTTCCCATATCTTTCATTTTAAAACCCAGACATGTCAGGGATTCTATTGTTGCTTTCCAATCCTCTCAACATCCCCCCTGAAGCAGGTTTGCCGTTATAAAAGCCACCAAATTCCAGGTTGCAACTAGCTTGCCTATCAAATCAGGATTTTAACAGAGGTTGTTTGATCCTGTCCTTTCTTCCCTAAATTATTTTGTAAAAGGGATTTGTAAACCACCAGAGCTCACTTGTTCCAAAAGCTGCCATTTGAACATGCAATCATGGCATCATTCATATTGCTGTCCCCTTTTTGACGTGCAATGTTACTGCTATGCTTATGGGTTGAAGACCCAGGTTTAGTAGCTGTTTTAAGTTTTATACTGTATGTCTCAATGATATTCTCATCATAAGTTATATCATTGTTCATTCTGTGATGATTGTGAAAGGTTACATCATTGTACCAATGACAAAAAAGGTAATTGTATTTATAAATCTTATTTCATTTCTGGTTTGTGAAGTTTGAATTAAACCTTGCTCAGACCATAACATGTAATATCTAGTATGTTCTCAATAACGAAACAAAAAAGGAAAAAAAAAAATAAGGTATTTCCGTTTAGAAAATATTTCATGCCTAAATTCTTTGATTTCAAACATTTAAAAAAGGTAAAATTGGAACTAGAATTTTTTACTGCCTGTGAAGAGCTGAATCCATGAAACTAAATGGTATGTGAGCGCCCTCTGCAGACCATCTGAGGAAATGGATTTTGCAGCTCCATGGCCCTTCTGTATTATTTGCATAGTAGAGGTCAAACTATGGTGTTTATTGCTCCATTGCTCAGCATTTAGCCCATGTTAAAAAGAACCTGTTAATCAATGCAGAAAATCTTCCTAAAGTCCACCTCTATTGTTGGCACAGTCCTTATTGAATGAAAATGACACAATAGAATACAACGTGCGAGTATCTGGTAAAATGATCATTTTGTTATTCTGACAGTAAGTTGAATAAACTGAGATAAGTACCAATCATGCTGTTTTAGCAGAATTATGTCATAAAACAGAGAGGCAATCCGCCTTCCCCATTCTAATGTACGCAGCCTCCATGACGCTCTGAGGACTGCCTGATGATACAGCTGGTGTCCATTCAAAGGAAACATGGAAACATACCCGTTTATGTTGAGCCATCAGTTAAAAGGATGATCCACTATGTTTTATGATCAAAGACGAAGGGCAGCCAATTACAGCAGCTCCTCGTGATCAAACTGAAAAACATCTGATGCTCAGTTTTAAGAGTTATGGCCACACTATTGTCTGTCTATTATCTCTGAAGTGGATTTCCTGTATCTTTGCAGATTTTTTTTGCAAACAAAAAGAAATAAAATTTAATTATATAAAAAATGAAAGCAAATAAATAAAATCTTTATTAAAGTACAGCAATATTGTGAGGAAGTTTTGTGCAATATTAAAGAGAATAAAATTGTGTGCATAACTAGTGTTGTAATAGAAAACAGATTTTTTTCCCCCACTCTTACAGATGTTTTTTTTTTTTTTTGGCCTGTATACTTTTCCTTAGATTTTTCATATCCGTACAGATATTATGGCTTTATTTCATTCAGCAAGTTAAAAAACAATGTAAACTAACCTGTAATGGCCTGGCGACCTGTCCGAGGTGTACCCGGCCTCTCGCCCGTAGACATTGGAGATGGGCACCATCACTCCTTGTGACCCCAGCTGGGATGATGGAAAATGGATGGATGGATAAAACTAAATATCCCAAGTCAGACCGGGGTTCTCAAGACTGCTTGAAAAATAGACAAGCAAAGACTGTAAACTATAAAAAATGTTGATTCATTTTTTGACGACCCTTTGAGGCAGTTCAGGTATAAATAGCAGGTGTAATTTATTTTATAGAGTGTAACAACACAAGATGGTGCCAAAACATTTTCTATTTTTTGTTTAGAAAGCATAATTAGAGTTCCACATAATAATTGTGTTATTTAATTGACTATTTCTACTTCTCAAAATAGGCTAGACAAGTACAATCAGAGGAACACTATTTACATTGATTTTGTTTTACATAGATTTCCACACAGTCCATAAGTAAATCATTACATTAATGTGTGGTAAAAATTCTTGAATCTATTTTTCTTATTCTTATTACATTACAGAAAAGAGGGTGTTATATTTTCTTTTATAATTGTTAAAAGTGATTTTATATTTGAATAAACTTAGGCACATTCTTAGTGTTGTGCTTTGTAGATGAGGCCACTAAAAAAGAAAATAGACATAAGGAGCTATTTAACAGACAATAATTAACGTAGGATGATATAAAAGGTTGTGTTACATTAATCCCTTAATATTAAAACACACTTGTATAATAGTAACATTATATGATTATAGAAAACATAGATATCCAGAAACGATCCAGGGTAGCTGGAAGTAGAAGCAGCTGTCCCTTCAGATGATGTCTAAATTATCATAATTAGAAATGAAGGTGCAACTTTTTTATTTATATACAGTATAAATATCAGTTTGTGTTCGATATTGCTGAATCTAAGGGACTCAAACAATGAGTGGTGATGTTGCAGGTAGAGAGAGAAGTGTCAGGGCTTCAGGTGAGAGTTCAGTATAAGTAACTGGATTCTGTTCTCTCTCTGAGCTCACAAATGATGCCACATGAATTTTAGTATAGTTTGCCTGATTAACATGTTTGTTCGGTTGGCTGTTATCTCCACTTTTGATGTATTATGCAAGAAATGTGTTTGGAATGTTACGAGTAAATTAGGGCTTCAACTAGCGTTTATTTTGTAAATCAATTAATCTGTCAAATTTTTTGATGAATCGATTAATAATCAGATCAGCCAAAGGTTCCTTAAAGAAGATTTTTTTACTAAATTTAACCAGGTAAAACAGAAACGTTTCCTCTTGAGGAGTTCTGGATGGAGAATATTTACAGATGAAAACATTTTTTTACCTTAAATGCAAAATGTTTTTATTATTTTACAAATTTAATATTAATTCTGCTACCAGTGGTTTGCGTTGTCAGCTGAAGGCATGTTTTAGAGTCTCTACACTTCTGTTAACAATTTATGGATTACTAAATTAGGTGACGATTATTTTTAATAATCTATAAATCAAGATTCATCCAATTAGTTGTTTCAGCCCTAGATAAAATACATGAAATGGGCAAAACAGAGTAACTACAGCCCAGATGTTCAACTTTTATATTGAAGCCAATATTTTAAATGCTCAGTATCAGTTCCTCTTCTAGTTCCTGTGCACATGCAAATAAAACAATTTTATTTGCTGTCCCTTGAATGTATTATTGTGCTTTGTTTCATGATACAGATGGAGCATATGAAAGATAAGACTGTGTTTTACCTCTGTTGTCCTCTGCACAATTCTATATCTTCAAAAGAAAATACAGGATAAATGCATATATAACAGACATGTTTAGTTAAATAGGCGGGTATTTACTGTCTTAGTTGCTGGTAATTTCAAATAAACTCCTTTAAAAGTGGAAAAAGTCCTAATTCCATATTCATCAGAGCTGCTGATGCTTTAAACATTCATAAACAGCATCTAGTGTGTGTAGTGCTTATAAAATTTGTATAAATGTAGCAAAAAACGCTGTTGAAGCACCCTGATGCTCATGTCATGCATAAAAAAAGAGCATGCATATTTTTGCATATGACCAATGACATCAGACCAATATTGTCCATACCAAAGTTGAAATCAAACCTATGCCCTTGTTTAAACCCACAAAAAACATGAATTCATCCAACAAAACAATATGCCCCAACTCCAAGCCTTCTTTGCAGTCTTCACTTAGTACTTTTTAAGCTTAAAGAGCTTTTGCACCTGGTGAATTTAGCAGACCTAAAGATTACTTGATCATGCCTATTAACAGTGTCTGTCTGTCTGTAAAGTCAAGTTTTTAATTTTAAACACTTAAAGTACTAGTCATCTGAGGCCACGAACAAAAAAAAATTACGAAAAAGACAAAAGAAGCAAAGATAAAAAATAATTATTCAAGTAAGTTGTACAATTAAATCTTCAATGCATCTTTGAGAAATTATATGATGCATGAGTCAAGAGATCATAATGATTCGCACTTTCATAGTGAATTAACTAGCCAATGTAATGTGTCAACTGAAGTATCAATCCTGGTATATTCAGAATACCTGATCAATATTAGATATAGCTACTAGCTATAGATTGTATGCACAAAATACAGTGTGAGACTTTCCATCATTATAACTAATTAGGAACTTTAAGTATACTTTAGTAAACAAATGTCCCAATTTAGGTCGAAGAAGTATTACTTTAGTAATACTTCAAGTACACTAAAAGTACATTGTTCGGTATACTTTCTAATCTTATACTTAAGGATTCTTAATAGAATTTACTTCAAGTATACTACTTTTTGCTTTATTTTTAATAGGGAAACATCAGACAGGGAAATGTGACTGTGGGGAAGATGGGACAGTGGAACGTGTTATTTTGAGTTGTAGGAAATATTTGATTCAGAAAAAAAAGTTAATTAGGAAACTTAGTAATATGAAATGAAAGTTGACATCGTTGATTTACTGCAAAAGGAATCAGGAGGCAGAGGATATCAGGTTATATTTGAGTTTTTGAAACAGATTAAATTGCATAACAGGATATAGTTTTTTGTTTTTGTTTTGTTTTTTTGCCATGTGGGCCACACTCCTTACAAGTTGGTGGCGGTAATGCTCACCTAACTTTTTTGCCAACCGCCATAAAAATTTCAACAAGAAGAAGAAGAATACCACTCCGGTACAGATGGCGGCAGAAGAGAGCAATGCTTCCTATGAGCTACCAACTCATAGGAAGAAGAAGAGCGCGGATGTTTGGTAATGTTTACACTGCGAGCTGAGGACACAGCAGGTGAGTAACTAACTCTGTTAGGCATTTTTAAATAATATATTTTAACAAAATAGACTTCTATAATGGCATTAAATCTAATGAGCATCTGGTATGTTTATTTACCGTTTGGATCACCTTTAAGGGATCTACTTTATCCTTTCATACCTGGTTAGTTTTTTTTAGTATCTGCGTAATAAAAATACATGACGATCATTGATGTTACATCTCAATATAAAAACCAAGGTTGAATAGTGTTTATTAAACATTTTTTACCCCCTGATTATATTTTTGCTGCTCAACAAAGCTGAAAATTTTCAGAACTCAAAGAAAAGACGTCACTCTCATGTGAGCTGTTTTTAATGACCTTATTAAAGAAAGCAGAACAGCTCTGATCCAAAGGTTTTAGGCCTAATTTTGGCTATAATTCTACTGAGAGGGTCCAATGTTTTCAATTTCACATCAGATGGTAAATGATTCAATGGAAAATCCCACTATATTATTAAGAATAACTAATTAATTCATTCAATTAGTTAAGTCATCATGTATCATATGGCTGCCAGCGTGGCCATATCGGCAGTATACAAGACTCCACTCACAATAAACATTACACCACAAACAAAGGACAAGCTAAGGACAGAAAACTCTGTTTCCAAATAGTTTGTGACAAATGTTGTTAAAAGTATTATTATTAAATAGTCATCCTAACATGTTTCATGCAACCGAAACATTTTTTTTTTCTGTTTTACCTTTTAAAAATATTTTCTAATCATTAAAGAAAGGACTATGAATGAAAAATGAAATTCATCCTAAATACATTTGAGTTCAGAAAACATGTTTTTTTTTCCTTTTTTTTTACAAGTCTCTTTAAATCTGCCCACTTCAACCATCAGAGGAAAAGTATGGCTCTTATGGAGGACACTCATTTTTCCACTTCTAGGAATATTAAATCAGCCAACTGCAAAGTATGTCTTTGTAATTGATCCAGTATTTTATAGCTGCATCCTGACATGGATGTGATCGACCTGTGGCTCTGCTTAGATGTTATTAGATCATCAAACTTTACAGTGGACCTAACTTGGATACTGTTCCTCTGCACTTGTCTTACATATTCTGGTGTTTATTCCACATGAAATAAGCATTTATTGTCATCATTAATAAGCATTTGGCCACAGTAAGGATTCGGACCCTAGAAGTCCAGGTCCAGGGTATATCTGGTGGCTCTTTGAGGCTCTGACTCCAGCTTCTGTCCACTCACTCCTTTTGTGTATCTTAATGATCAGCTCTGACTGCTAATGCTGAGGGTTATCCATGTTGCTGTAAACCTTTTCCTTCTTCTAGACATTTCATTAGCTGCCTCGTCTGGAAGGTGCCGTTGACTCTATTGTGGAAAACTCAACAGTCTTCTCCATGAATGTGTCGGCCATTACAGAACATTTCATCGTCTGTCAGACTTGAACTATGTCAGAGAAAGAGTTTCTGATTTTTAGGGCTGCAACTAACGATTATTTTCCAAATCGATTCATCTGTTGATTATTTTTTTGATTAATCGATGAATAGCAAAAGGTTCCTGTAAAAAGATTTTATGCTAAATGAAACCAGGTGAAACTAAAACTTTTCCACCTGAGGAGTTCTAGATAGAGCATATTGACAAACAGAAAATATTTTTATCAGATGTTTAAATTGAGTTTTTTTTTTTACAATTTTGGTATCATTTCTGCTCAAAGTTCTCTGTCAGCTAAAGGCACATTTTAGAGTCTCTATATGCCAGTTAATGATTACAAATTTTCATTAGCTGAAAGACCAAATGGTTATTATAACTGGAAAGGGATAAGTGGAGTTAAACTACAAAAAATAATAAACAAAATCCTAATAATAATTGTTCAATAATTCATCTTTATGTACATGTTTGAAGTTTTGTGTTTCACCAGCAGTTAAACATTTAAGATATGGTAAATATTCAAACATATGGTTTCGACCAGTCTTCATAATAAAAGTATTATTTTTTCCTTTTTCTTTAGAAACCCTTCATGATTTGGTGGAAAATAGAGTAGCTCTGTGCAACCATGGAGGCTGTTGGTGACTTTCTGAATGTCCTCAACATTGAGGTCAGCAGAACAACGGTGACCGTCACCCTTTTCATCATTTTTCTGGGTCTCCTCTACTGGTAAGTACCTTCCAGTATAATCCCATGCTAAAAGAAACAACATCCTTTACAAATTATCAAGCCTTTTTCGTATGCATCTTATTTTCTTAGGGGACGTACTTAATTTATTACACTAACTTTTTATTTTGGTATCAAACTAATAGTCATGTAATGCGGTGGTGTGTGTGTTTATCTTCTGGTCTACAAAATCACACACACAAAAGAGCGCAACTGAATAAAAACAAGGAACTAATACAGAAACTGAAGGTTTATATTTAATATACATGCATTCCTAATTTTAAAAAGCCTCCTGTCACCCTTTTAGGTATTCAACCTATCCATTTTCAGTCCTCTCCCGGTGTGGAATCAAACACCCAAAGCCAGTGCCTTTCTTTGGCAACATATTCTACTTCCGTGAGGTAAGATTCCCTTTACCAACCAAATGAATGAAAATATATGCAGTGATATTGCTGAATGTATTCCTTATGATAATTGCTCTTGTAACTATAGATATGTTTTTCTGCTTTTGGTTCTTAGCAAACATTGCTAAATAAAAAATCTATATTTCTTAAAAAAAAAAAAAATTATTGAAAAATTGCTTCTATCCAGCATCTAATTACTTCACATCATCTTTTTCATCCAGAATCTTTAATGCTGCATTAAACAACATCTAATTCAAGCACAGAAAGACTTAATGCTTGCTGCTGCTGCAGTTTTTTAGGGATTTATTTGTATGCGTGATTTGGAAGGTTACTGATAAAAAGATAAATTTGCGACATGTTCTGAAGCTCTCAATAATGAGCAGTTTTTATCTGTTTTGTATGCAGATCATATGTAGACTAGTGGTGCGTTTCCATACTGCTACGCTGTCAGTTTGTCTCCAATGTCGAATCAAGGTTAAACTCTGCTGACATGAGTCTGATGCTGTCCCTATCATCCTTTCAGGGTTTTTTCAGACCTCTCACTGAACTTATTAAAACACACGGTAGAGTATGTGGGTAAGGGATACCTCTTATTTTTCTCTCTCAGTGTTACAGAAAATATAAATCTGGGTGTAAACAGTTTTTACCTAGCTTCATTTAGCTGTAAGCTCACTCTTATTGTGTAATTGTTGCGTTCCAGGTATTACTTGGGCCGCCGGCCTGTGGTGGTGGTAGCAGATCCTGACATGCTCAGATCAGTGATGGTCAGGGATTTCAGCAGCTTCCCAAACAGAATGGTAAGAATGAAACGACATTTGTAACATGTGACTTAAAATACGCTAGATTCTGCTCTAGAATAATGATAACACTGCTTTGTGGGTGCGGTTTCTCTGCAGCAATTCAAGTTTGCCACAAAACCCATGACTGACTGTCTGCTCATGCTGAGGAACGAACAGTGGAAGAGGGTCCGGAGCATCCTGACCCCATCCTTCAGCGCTGCCAAGATGAAAGAAGTGAGATAATAAATAACTTTAATGTGCTCACCATATGATTTTTAAAAATAATAGACCTATACATAAAGTACTGAATATCTTTGATACAGAATCAAGGATCTTTATTATCATTATAAAACCAGCGGCGGCTTGTGGAGTTTTCTCCGGGGGGGCTATAAATAAAAAATAGACGTATACCAAAAACCAATCAAACGTATAGTAAGTTATCACACCAGTATATTTATATGAATGCCAACAACAAAAAAACATTATGAAAACACTTTTATAAAAAAAAAAACATAATTTCATGCATAGGTTTAGTTTTTTTTAACATAAATGTTGCCCTTTTAAGGGGTATGTGAATGCAACTCTGTGTTTTGTACGGTCCAATTTGGGGCACAGACCTACAAAAAACAATTTACCAGTTTAATAATGGAGAAGCTATTGGTCAGCTTTATAACTAATATATAAAAACTATTTTCTGAGAATGTGTTTATTTATGAGCAACTATGCAAATTAAATGTCTAGAAAAATTACCCTGTATTATATTACTTTCCATGTGAATCCCAAATTGTTCATTCGTCTCTGCCTTTTTTAAAAAGTGCTTTAAATAAGTCCTAACTGTCTTTATCCATGCTGGCTCAGATCCTGACAGAATAAATCTTCATGCTGCTAGCCAAGCCTTCTTGCTAGACCAGATCCTGGAAAAGGAAATTTCTTGCACCATTTCTCTCTCCAATGCATCTCCAACGCCCGCGAGTGGACCTGTCAATCACCCACAAAACGTCATAGCGCAGCTCTCCTGAGCTCTTCTATACCGTTGTATTGCAGAGGAGTTACTGCGCATGTGCAACTTTTAACGAGAGTCAATGGGCAAAGGTTTTTGCGCCCTAGGGGGGAAATACGTCACCAATCCGAAGAAAAATTAAATGATGCTATACTAGTCATTAAACATTATATATGTATGTTACACATCTAAAAATATATATAGAGAGATATATTTCGAAATATTCCACATTTTAATTTAAAATTAAATTATAAATAAAAAATAATTACAAAAAGTTGACACAAAAAGCAGGCAATTAATGGATACCAAACTTCTTACTACTGTTCTGGGTGCTAATAACATTTTGAAGGAGCTTCAGCAGCACTACCATTATCACGAATATCTTATAGTCCCCCGACTGAAGAGATATTAGAATCTCTGCTTAAATGTCAGCCAAACCATTTGCATAGGGACAGATAAAACCTTTCAATAAACCAGACATTATCCTCCACATATCTGATTCAATAATCATTTAAAAAAACTATTTCCATTAATTTCAGACGGAAGTATTCACATACTTGTATTAAATTAAACTGCACTTACAATATCCACCACTGTTTGGCGCTATTTCCCTTCTAACTCTGAGCATGGAGCAGCCGGCTTGCTTGGACTCGCAATAAATCACGGAATATCCAAGACTGCGTAGGATACCACGGACCTGTCTTTCAAGATGGGCGAAATGAAGGATACATGTGGGGCCGCATAACGAGAAGTCTTCCAATTGGAACAGGCCTCGGCACTACGCTATGATGTCACGGCCGATTAAATCTGGCTTTCAGAGGACGCGGCCACTGAATTTGAACTCAGCAACCGTCATACAGCCCAGCACATGCTTCCCTCTACAGCACCCTAAATAAGCTGCGCTTTTTTGTTGGTTTCAGGACAGATTTGTTGGGATGGATTTTTATTAATTATAATAAAAAACATAACATAAATCCTGCATTGTGCCTTGGTCTCATATAAAAATCAGTTTGATCATCTGAAACTTTATGGTATTTTAATGTACCGTCCTCCAGATGTGGCTGGCCTGTTCTTTTCCTGAATTTAGTGAGTGTCTCATCCATTGTCTGGTCCTGGGTAACTGCATCACTGAAGTTTTATTCAGATTCTACTCTGTCCTGCTTCTTCAGTTACTGCCACAACATAATTTATTTTATTTTATTTATTTTCTTGTACTGTAGATGGTTCCACTGATCAACACAGCTGCTGAGGCACTGATGAGGAACCTGCAAGTCCATGCTGACTCAGGGGAAGCGTTTGACATCCACAGGTAAACCAAAGTGATTGCTACTCATACCTTTTCTCTTTTCCTATCAGGTTCCAGTTCATTTGTTCCTATTGTTTTCTATTGGTAGGTGTTTTGGCTGTTTTACCATGGATGTTATAGCCAGCGTTGCATTCGGCACTCAGGTGGACTCACAGAACAACCCAGATGATCCATTTGTCCACCACGCTCAGATGTTCTTCTCCTTTTCTTTCTTCAGGCCTATCATGTTAGTTTTCAGTAAGTCGTGTAACTTGATCTAATGCAGGAGATTTGAGGTGGAAATGAAAATCACTAGACTTTGCAGAATACTTTTTTTTTACCAAATGAAGAGCTTAAACTGGATTTCCTGATTGAACACAACTTGTCATGACCCTTATATGTCAGCCATGGTTACACATTATCATAGTTACCGATAATTAACATAAACATATACACATTAATAATAGTGCTCATATTTATCTATTGATTCTCGTATCTAAATTGACAAAAGCAAAAAAAAAAAAAAAAAAAAAAAAAGAACTATCAGTCAGAAGCTTCATAGGAATGGATAAATTACTGCTTTTTGCTACTTGGCTTTGGTTGGTTTAAACATTAGCAATCCTCAAACTTTTTTTTTATCTGCAATGTTTGCATTTTATGCTAAATAAGCAATGCTTCTCTTTTTTTGCACAGTGGCTTTTCCCCACATCTTTGCTCCCATTGCCAGATTCCTCCCAAACAAAAGGCGCGACCAGATGAACGGGTTCTTCACCAGCATCATCCAGAAAATCATAAAGCAGAGAGAAGAACAGCCTCCCAGTCAGGTGGAAGTCACTTTTTAATTCCTTTTTTAGTTTCATTCAGTTTTATTATGTAAAAAATCTTCTTTAAGGAACCTTTTATATCCAATTATTAATTGATTAACCTAAAAATAATTGAAAAAATGAATCGATTAACAAATTAATTGTTAGTTGCAGACCTAGTTTTTACGTCACATTACACCATTCGTTCCCAAATTGGGGTGTGTATGCCCTGGGAGGGGCACAGTGTAATTGCAGGGGTAATTAAAAAAACAAACAAAAGGCAATTGATTGTAATGTTAAATTTTGTTACACAGTAAAATAAAACAGGTACAGTTTAGAAAATTACACTTTAAAAAGGGAAGTTTTGAGATTTAAAGGGGATTTTAGATTATTTTATTGAAATATGTATTTCTGCATCTGAGTGTGGAGCGAACATTTATTTTAAATTAAACCAAGAAAGGTTTCAATTTTAAATGGATTTTAAATGGAAGAACGCATCTGCAATTTCTCAGCACAGAATAAGAAAACTTTCAGTATTGATAAAAAAAAGAGCTTAAAAGTGGCTCATGCATTAATATTCTGTCCCTTTTGTTCTGAAACCCTTAATTTAAACTCAGTGCTACAAATTAAGCTGTTCTGTCTCTTGCCTCAGAGGTTTGTTAGGGAACATTAGAGAGCTACCAGCATCATGAAGACTCAGGCAGGAAGTTCTGGTCCTTTAAAGCAGGCTGGGGTTCTGGAATTTAATTCAGTTTATTTATATATCGCCAATTCACAACACATGTCATCTCAAGGCACTTTACATAAGGTATCTTCCTTTTTTCCCCTTTGTGATCCATGGTCCGAGACACACCGGTGCTAAGTTTGCACTGCGCCACGCTGAAACGTTTGTTGCAGACAGTCGGACAGGAAAAACATTGGTCAGAGAGGTGGGGGAATCTGTTGACAAAAAAAAGCTCTAAGCATTTTAGTTATCTGAACTTTATGAAAGAATTGTAGTAAAATCATTTTTAAAAGGAATACAAAAAGGTTCAGGTTGGTCAGATACTGGTTAGTTAAACCCTGGCCTGCATGCAGATACCAGTGATGGAACACTGACACTGAACATGAGCATGGTGGTGGCAGCATTATGTTGTGGAAGTTCTTTTCATTAGGTGCAACAGGACAAAACAGGTTAGCATTAGCTTGTTAGCTCGCAGCAAGTAAGAAGTAAGAGAAAGATAAGAGTTCATCAGCTCTTTGTTTCAGCTCTGCAAGAGTTGAGCCCAGTCTCTTCATTGGTTCAGCAGCTTTAATGTGACAAATAAATGTCAAAAAGTGAGAATTTAGGACATTTGCTCTCCGTTGTGTCGTGCTTGTTAGCTAATATCCTCCTGTGAACCCCCTTTTATACCAAAACGCTGCCAATACGATCTTACACAGTAGCTGTAAGTTAGAAACATGACCAGCAGTAGGGATGGAACGGTTTATGAAAACCGTCCGAACCGTTCGGTTCGACTGTCTCGGTTCGATTCGCATGTGTTGCGTTCGGTTCATGCGCTGCTCCTTTTTCTCATAGGCGAAGCGTTTACACTCCAGAGCAGAAGGTGGCGGTACTGCGACCAAAGGCAACCACCAGTAGTAAACAAGAAGAAGAAGCGAAGCAGCATAGCAGGAAAAAAATCAGTTGTTGTTGAGAATTGTGTCGGACTGGCTAGTGGGAAAGAACAGGAGTTGGAAGACGCGCCAGCAGCACTTTATAGGTCTGCTGTATGGGACCACTTTGCATTTAGAGTGACCTACGATGACGGTGGAAAGAAAGTTTTGGATAAAAACAGTCTGCAAGCATTGTGCAACATGTTTTGTTTATGCTAACAGCAACATGACCAACATGTCAGGCTAACAATCAACATATACCGAACCGAACCAAAAACCGTGATCACGAAACCGTGAACCAAACCGTGGATTTTGTGAACCGTTCCACCCCTAATCAGCAGTCGTCTGGAACACGTCAGATACGCAGATATGCATTGGAGATGAGTTCTTACGTTACGCATAAGTTATGCGCAACTTATTCATACGTTTGGATAAGCTAGACACCAAGACTTATGAGTAACTTACACTTAACGTATGTCAATGATCAGATAAGGTACAAGTAACTTATGGCCAACGTATGGCATATGCTGGCATGCGTCAGGAGAATGCTCAAAATTTCTCACCATACTTGCCGTATGTCGACGTGTGCCTGCGGGCTTCAGCGTGCTTCACGGTGCTCTTACAGTACCTCGAACAATATTGACCCATAACTTATCCAACATATGCTAGAGTTTTCGCCAGATTTTTTGTACGTCAGGCATACGCTGGCCAAAACGTCAAGGTGTGACAGTGGCTTTATAAGCTTTGTGGTTCAAGTAGCGGCTCATTTTTGGAAAATAGGTAAGCATACTGGCATAAAATCATAAAGAATGTATGTGCTTCTAACATGACGTTGTAGCAGGATAAGTTCAAGTGGTGTTAGATCACTGTAAGTGTCTAAAAAAGTGTTCCTCCACTTTCTGAGAGGTTGAATGTCCATTTCTTGCTTGTAGAGGCGTAGGGACTTCCTCCAGCTGATGTTGGACGCTCGGTCCGGCAAAGAGGCCGTCTCTTTGGAACATTTCGATACAGCAAACCACTCTGACGAGTTGGATCACAGGACCCAGTCATCCGCACCGGATGGGGAAAATGGATCTCCTCCCCAACCGGAGTCACCTGTGAAGCGTCCACAAAGAAAAATGATGAGTGAGGATGAGGTAGTCGGCCAAGCCTTCGTCTTCCTTCTGGCCGGGTATGAGACCAGCAGCAACACGTTAGCCTTCACCTGCTACCTGCTTGCCCTCAACCCTGAATGTCAGTGCAAAGTTCAGGAGGAGGTGGACGATTTCTTCACCAGACATGTGAGTTTGTCGGGTTTTTTTCAGGTCGTTTCTCTTGTTTTCGTGGCGTCTCCTTGTTTAAACGAAGTGGACCTCTTTTCAGGATTCTCCAGATTATTCAAATGTGCAGGAATTGAAGTATTTGGACATGGTTGTTTGTGAAGCACTGCGGCTTTACCCCCCTGGCTTCAGGTAAAGGAATATAACTGTCAGTAGATTTATAATTTTCCTGCTTTTTCGTTTTTTCTGTTTACAAAGCAGTTTTGTTGATTTATGAACCTAAAGGATATTTTCTCTCGTCAAGGTTTGCTCGAGAAATAGACCATGACTGCGTGGTGAACGGGCAGTTTCTCCCCAAAGGAGCCACGTTGGAGATCCCAGCAGGATTCCTGCACTATGACCCAGATCACTGGCCCGAGCCAGACAAGTTCATCCCTGAGAGGTCTTTCAACTCTCTAAATATGTTCATGTTTTTTTTGTTTTTCTGTTTTTTTCAAAAATGAACCTCCTCTTCCGTCTGGCTCCTTCCAGGTTTACACCAGAGGCTAAGGCGAGTCGGCATCCATTTGTGTACCTGCCGTTTGGGGCTGGACCACGTAACTGTGTGGGAATGAGGCTGGCCCAGTTGGAAATCCGAATGGCTTTGGTCCATTTGTTCCACAAGTTCAGCATCGAGGCCTGTTCTGAGACCAAGGTGGGTTAGCTCAGAATCCTCTTGGTTTCTTTGTCGCCACCACATTTAAAAAGTAGAAGCATGAATTTCTTTCTGCATTTAGGCAAAGCGAAGGTATGAATTATAAATGAAATATTTTCAGCTCTTAATGACTAAAGTTCAGAGTCAGTTTATTTGTTACCCAAAGCTATAAGCCTTATTTTGCTGACTATAGCACTAAACGACCTTAAAAAAAGAAGCTCATTTGCATTATTTTTTACCTGTTTTTAATTCTCAGATACTTTTAAAATCAATTAGATATTTGGGTATCTGCTGATACCACATTTTTCCAAGGTAAATATCTCACACTCAAGGGTTCATAGAATGTATTCAAACCCCTTGGGACATTTTCACAGTTTGTACAATTACAACCACAAATCTGTGTTTTTTGGCTTACATAAGAATGACCTTTAGAAGTTGGGGGGAATGTGTTCAAATCATTATTTTTAAGGTCTTGATGAGAAGAAGAACAGACCATAGTTTGATAAAAGCATTTGCATAAAAGAAGCAATCAGGGTTTCTGTGCATCATGGGCTCAGCTCTGAATCAATACCTTATGACCTCTGACCCCTCTGAAGATGCTCTGCTGTTTTAGAGTGGTTTCTTGTGGGCGGAGTTTGTAATTATTTGGATTTTTTTTCCGGAAGGAAAGGCTGCCCCAGTATTGGTTTAACCCAATATGTCCAGCACTGTGAAAGGATTTGGTCAACTGATGAACACAAGAGGGTGTCCCCTAACTGGCCTCGCTTGACCTTAAACAAAACCTCTCTTGGTTTTCACAATTTTATTCTGGCCCTCCTTAATATTGCTGTTGGTCTATCCTCTCTCCATAATCAGATACGGTTCTCCCAGCCCTGCTGGGTTCCTTAGTTTTCATTTTCTTGGTTGCTCATTCCTCGGTATGGAGCACACTACACTTTTTTTTGTTTTTATTTGCCTTACTTGATTATGGTTGAAAGAAATATGTGAACAATTAAGGAAGTATTGATATTCCTACAAAGCTCTGTGCATGCATCTGTAAATGCATCTCCTTCCCATTTTCGTTTCAGGTTCCTCTCGACCTGAAATCCTCCAGCACCCTGGGACCCAAAGACGGCATATATGTGAAAATCACAAAAAGAAGCAGCGGACATGGACTTAAACACTCTGCATCAAATGATTAGAAACCCACCTGCAATTCTGAGGGTTAACAGCAGTAGTAGTCCCTGCTTCACTGGGAGCAGGGGAACTTAATGCTGTATTTCTGCAGTCTGAGATCATACCTCTTGATTTACACTGTTACTTGTAGTTTGCAAATCCTAATTGTTTTGCTCTTAATGTGAACTGATTCAAATACTGTGTTGTTGTTCGACATGAAGATGGGTTTGCGACCTAAGTTCAGATGGATTCAGATGGATATACATTTGATAGTTCCTGCTTTAGAAATAAGGGTTGCTGCACAAAACTGGTTGCAGAATTAAAATGATATGGAAAAATCAAAGTAGCATCTTTTAAAGGTGCCTTCCAGATTATTTGTATTATAAGGAATAATTCTTTAAAGGCCTCTTGGTTCTGAACAGGATCTACTGGATGACTGCGAAACCTACTAAGTGGCTCACATTAACTCCTAAGCTAACTACCAGCTCTTCCTAACCTTTAAGTAAACCAATTATTCCAGCAATGCATGATTTTTTTTTAATCTAGAAGAAAACATTTAACACTTTTTAATCTCCTGTTTTATTTTTTTGAAAGATTGTTATTCATATTGCATAAATATAGCCACAGCAGCTAGCTGTTACTACCCCTAAAAAATGTTATTATAAAGGACCATTATGAGGAGTTACTGGTTTCATTTAAGTTTTGTTTATATGCATAGGATGTAGGACATATTTTAAAGCTAATTTAACATGGTTATTTTGACAACCTCTGGGTTAAGTCCTTATTTTATTTAAGGGAAAAATTTGCACAATAAGAGAAATTTACTTTGAATTAATCAAAATGTTAATTGCTGTGTTAATTGCAAATGTTAAAATGCAGTGAATGTAGCACTTGAATAACTTTGTAAATAAAAAGATTATCAAGTGACCAGATCTCATTCGGTTTTGTTGTTTTTTTTACATCGCACATTCTACATCTGTACATTGGATCCATATTTCATCTTAGACTTAAGATTTAGAAAAACTTTGTCATTTGGTATACTCAGAGTGTATACTAAAAGAAAACAGTGTAATGAAAATTACAATTTATAAAGTGCAACAGTGATCAACAATGTAAACCGTGCAGGACAAAAGGAAACCAGGTCAAAAGTAATAGTGCAAAAAGGCAGTCATACGGAAAGGTTCAGAGCAGAGCAAAATAAAAATGGGGAAAAACAAAGAACCGGGGTCCAATTAAAAGGAATTAAAAAAAAAAAAAAAATCAGCCACGTTGGTAGTGAAAATATGATGTTGCAAGTGTGATGCAGAGTCCAGTTTAAAGTTCTGCAGTTCAACAGTCTGATAACAGTGGGGAAAAGCTGTTGCAGAACCTATTTATTCACCATTTTTATTTTTACTATGACATATTAGGAGTTTACCCAGACATCTGTCAAGCATGATTTCGCTCTTTGCACGTCCATAAATATTTTTGTCACATACTTTTCAGATTTCACTCTGTTGTTTCTGTTTTAATCTGATCCTTTCAGGGCTATAGGGGATGCTAGAGTTTTTTTTGCAGGGTATACACGGTATAATTTCCATTCACAGAGCAACAGAGAGATGGACAGCACCTACTGAGTTGGAGAGAAGTTTACTTACCGTAACTTTATCATGGCTTGTTCTCATGTGCAGTCTTTAAAAAAAACTAGGTCTGAATGATCACTTTTATTTTTTCCAATCATTGTTTTGCTCTTAATGTGAACCGATTCAAATACTGTGTTATTGTTCGACATGAAGACGGGTTTGCGACCCAAGTTCAGATGGATATACATTTGATAGTTCCTGCTTTAGAAATAAGGGTTGCTGCACAAAACTGATTGCAGAAATAAAATGATATGGAAAAATCAAAAAGGCATCTTTTGAAGGTGCCTTTCAGATTATTTGCATTATAATGAATAATTTTTTAAAGGCCTCTTGGTTCTGAACAGGATCTACTGGATGACTGCGAAACCTACTAAGTGGCTCACATTAACTGATAAGCTAACTACCAGCTCTTCNGCTGTATTTCTGCAGTCTGAGATCATACCTCTTGATTTACAAAGGAACACGTAGATTGCAAACAATAATTGTTTTGCTCTTAATGTGAACCGATTTAAATACTGTGTTGTTGTTCGACATGAAGACGGGTTTGCGACCCAAGTTCAGATGGATATACATTTGATAGTTCCTGCTTTAGAAATAAGGGTTGCTGCACAAAACTGATTGCAGAAATAAAATGATATGGAAAAATCAAAAAAGCATCTTTTAAAGGTGCCTTCCAGATTATTTGCATTATAAGGAAAAATTCTTTAAAGGCCTCTTGGTTCTGAACAGGATCTACTGGATGACTGCGAAACCTACTAAGTGGCTCACATTAACTGATAAGCTAACTACCAGCTCTTCCTAACTCCCAAAAATTATTAGAATTTAACATGAATTTAAAGTCAATTTCAGAAACATGTATACATAAAATATTAGATTATGGCTCCTTTAGAGACAAGTTTTATCTGTTCTTACTTTAAGTAGATTTTAGGTTAGACATGCAGTTCTAAACAGAAAATCATTGCACTCATTTTATCTGATCCACAAAGGGTCTAATAATTGAATAAATATTTCCTAGCAAGTTCCTGAGAAAACACAATTTTGTGGCCATGGTTCTGGCCTAACTCTTGCTGGACTTTGACCACTCTTCTTATCAGGATTTGTGGAGTTAATTTTGTTTCTGTTTGTTTTCTGGCTTGGACTCGGTTCCTAGGCATAGATTAAAACGGGCTAAAAAAATTCAGGATGGTGTTCATTCCAGAAATTAAAGTAAATTAAAATCTGATCTTTTTGTATTCTAAAAGGGTGTTTGAAGTCATCCTGTTCAAACCCCCCCCCCCCAAAAAAGAAAACAATTCAAAAATCAAGTTTCTGATTGTTCTTTGTGAATTTGAAGAATTGGAAAGCAGTCCTCTAAATTGTGCATTGCACCACTACCACAAGCAGCGAGAGTCCCACAGAAGTAGCTACCACCCCCATCTGGCGGGGGGTATCCGGTTGTTTCCCTCCAAGCTTTCATGAGGTATACAGGCCATGGTAGGATTCAGGCAGTACTTGTGTCAGTGGTTCCTCTCTGGTTCCTGACCATTTTAACTAAGTGTTTTTCTTTGTGGACTCAGATGGGTTTTTCAGGTTTATTCAATTATTGAATGAATCCAACCTTCATAAAATCATGTAAGCTTTTGGTTGAAGCTAAACTGTGCCAGAGAACTAATCTCTTTGAAATAATTTCTAACCCTCCTTATAAGAAGAGCAGTGTGAATGTCCTTCCAGGAATGTTGCCACAGTGGCTTGAAAGTGTCCTGTATATCTGAAACCTGATAAAAGTTACTTATTGTCCAAATACTGATGTGTTTGTTTTTACAGGGCTGTAAAAAAAAATTTCCCTCCTTACAGACCTTTTTTCTGTTGTTGTCCCTCTTGATTTTAATGTCAGATATGAATAAGTTGACTAAATACAAAAATCTGTTTTCAAATCCAGATTTCTTGATGAGAAAACAACCTCAACCAACCTGGCCAGATGTGAATAATGATTGTTGTGTTATGGTGTTATGAAGATGAACGTCACTAACCAGTTTAACCTGTTTACTGTATTTTAAAGCAGAGGAATTTTATACCAGTGTTTATACCAGTAATTCTTTGTCCCCATGCATAGTCCCTGAAATAAGTGATCAGGTAGGGTTCACAGCCTTATTGTGGGTGAAGTTTTGGTTGATCAAAATTCTGGTGGGATTTGAACCAGATGCCTGTGAGTTAACCCTCCAAACCATAAATCTCTCTATGTTATTACCTATTCTCATTAAACATTTAGGATTATTTGTTTTATTTCACTTGGATATCAAGGGATGTCAAAATCTGGAGCTGTTATTGGTTTAACAAGGATTTGAATTCCAAAGGTCCTACTCTCTTTTTAAGACTCTTTACTTTCAGTTTTTGACTTTAAAAGTATTGCTTTTAGGATTTAAACTCATTTGACACATTTACCAGTAATAGATTTGTTCACTAAGTTGCTGGGTAATTTTTTATTTTATATATTTAAGAGTCTCTATAAATTCTTAAACAGACTGACACCAATATCATTGTGGACTTACATGAACATGTACCACCTGGTGGCGTCAGATTATCACAGACTGTTTTAGCCCTGAGAAACTTCACAGTTCCTAAAGACAATTTTTTCACCCCTTTGATCTCCAGCATTGCACACATTTTTATTTTATTTAGGTGGCACCCATGTCTTAGTAGATCTGTAGTTGGGCCATCCTCTCTCCATGTAAAGGTGATGGATTGAACAGAACTGAAATATTGTTTTGGAACCCAACCCTTAAACCTTTCCAGGAAGTTTTCCCTGGTCTGAGCCTGATTTTTATTATGCATGTTTCTACTCCTACAAATGTGCAGTCCTGAAAGAACTACTGTATTTTGTTTAGATTGTAATACAGATAAGACTCTACTTTGATAGGCAACTTTTAAAGACAGTTGACTGCATTTGATTTTATTTTAGGCATCAGGCTCAAGGGGGCTGTATGGAAATTCTTGCCTTATTCATGAATGATGTTTCTGAACACTCTGTCCTTTCTTCTCTTTCTGAAATGATGAAATACTTTGTGTTGTTCATTTTCATAAAACGAAAATGAAAGCTCAGTGGTAATGCAGTGCTAAAATTCCAGGGATATGAACCCTTCTGCGAAACCCTTTAACTAGATTCAATTTTTTACCATTTCTGTCGCATAACCAGCACTTCATTTCACACAGCCGCTTGAATCTGTTGCAGGGTTTTCTCCACATGGTGTCACTGCAGGCATAAACGTCACACCAAGGCCATCTAAAACTGTAGGTCTATTTTTTATCCATTTTACAAGATGCCCCATTCCTTTGTGGGTCCCCTCAGTCGTGGGAAGATTCACATTTTATTTCACACTGCTTGGTTTATGAGCCAGCTTATAAAAAATACATGTTCTTGACCTCAGTATTGATGTGTTGGAGTGCGCTGGACATGCTGCAGGCAGACCAAGATGGTACAGTTGTTCAGAATGCGGCACAGAAGTTTTGTGGAGTAGCATTAAAAGTGAAGCATTAGTAATGGGAAGACAAATGTTCACGAAAGAGATGGTAAAATTCATCTTATGATGCCAATAAAGCTCCTCGAATTGGATTGAGCGAGTGAAAATGAGAGGGGGGTGGTGGTGGAAGACAATGGATGACAGATGGTAGATAGCAGACCGAAATATAGGAAGAAGGGAAAGGGAGAGAAGGGGCAGAGAGATGAAGCTGCAGACAGTAATCAAAATGGAAAGAGAGTGATACAGCGATGGAGGGATACAGTGCAACTAGCAGGGAAGGATGGGACAAAATCATAAGAGAAAGAAGGGATAAAAGCAAAGAACAAGTGTCTCAAAGGACTTATGCTGTTCTATCTGCAGTGCAGCTCAGGTCAAGGCCTCTCAGGCTCTGCAACATCCTGCTGCATCAACACCACCATGATTGATTGCTGCTTTGTGTCTCTGATTAA